AACATTAAAGTGTTGTGTTATATGGATGATTTACTTATTCCTGCAAAATCTTGGGAAGAGATGATTTTCAAATTAAAACAGGTATTAGAATGCCTAAGAAAAACAAATTTAACCTTGAAACTATTTAAATGTGAATTTGGAAAAGAGAAGTAAACTTCTTGGGTTTTTATTATAAACGAAGATGGTATCAGACCGGGCTCTAGAAAAATAAAAGCCATAACAGAATTTCCAGAACCAAAGAATGTGCACGAAGCGCAAAGATTTTTGGGCCTGACTGGATTTTTCAGACGATTTGTGCCGAAGTATGCGTTAAAAAGCGAACCATTGACCCGAATGACAAAGAAGAATTGAGACTTCGAGTGGAAGCAAGAACAAAAGAGGTCGTTCGAACTATTGAAGAAACAACTGACTGATAAGCACATATTAACTCACTATCAACCGCATGCAGATACTGAAGTCCATTGTGATACAAGAGTGGAAGGTTTGAGTGGAATGCTAATGCAACATGAAGAAGATGGAAAATGGCATATTGTTTATTGCATCGGCAAGAAAACAACTAAAGCAGAGAGAAAATATCATTCTAGCAAATTGGAGTTAATGGCCATCGTATGGATGTTGGGCCGATTAAGACAGTTCTTAATCAGCATAAGATTAACAATTATTACCGACTGTCAAGCTCTTAGATATATGAATGCGAAGAAGACTACAAATCGTCAAATAACCTGTTGGTGTAGTTTGATTCAAGAATACGATTTTGAGATAAAGCATAGGTCAGGAAAAAGACTGCCCCATATCGATGCTTTGGGCAGAGGTCATGTATCGGAAGCCGATGACAAGAATAGCTGAAAAGTTTGAAGTTTGCCAGCTCCTAACCAAAGAAGAGCAAATACTAATGATACAACATGCTGACCAAGATCTGGAAAGAATTATCGAAATTTTCAAGAAGAAACAAGATGAATGAACTGCTGAGGAGAAACAAATAATTAGGAATTACATGTTTAAAAAGAATTAAGACTGTTTTGGAAAACCACAGTGGTTGGAAAGGAGATATTACTATATGCGATTCCTAAAAGCATGAGGAAGAGTGTAGTGTTGAAATTCCATGATTTATTTGGTCACTTTTCTGTGGATAGAACAGTTAGCAAAATTAAGGAATTATATTCGTTCTCAAGCATGAAATGATACATACAAAGACACATATCAGCATGTATTGAGTGCCTTATGAATAAAGCAGCAGGTGGCAAGCAACAAGGACTGTTATATCCCATAAAAAACCTGGTAAAACACCGTTTGCTATTGTTCACATGGATCACTTGGGTCCTTTCATAAAGAGTTTGAGAGGTAATCAAGAACTGTTAACAATAATTGATAATATGACTAGGTTCGTGAGAATTTTTGCAGTTAAGAATACTAGTGCTAAAAATGTTTTATAGTCTTTGAAGAATTTTGTTAATGATTTTGGACTACCAGAAAGAATAATAAATTATAATGTTTACTTCTCACCAATTTAAACAGTAGTATACAGATAACGGAATACATCATACTTTAAATTCTACGAAACACCCCCAAGCCAATAGTATGGTACAGCGCTTTAACAGAACAATTTTAGGAACGATAATGACATGTTTGATGGATAAACAACACAGAAATTGGGATTCAAAAATAAAAGAGATGGAAAGAAATGTTAATGACATGGTAAACAAAACTAAAATAAGACTCCATTTGAAATGCTATATAAGTATTCGCCTAGATTTAATGATGGAATACTTAGGAAGTTAGCAGATGAAGATTCAGATACATGAAAAGACCCACGAGAAATCCAAGAGCAAGCGTGAGGAAGAATTGAAGAACAACAAGTGAAAATGAAAGAGATTCAATGGGAAGAGGTGTCATACACTAATATTCGAACAAGGAGAAATCGCTATGATGAGATGTGCTCTTAAGGCTACAGGTCAACCTACCAAAACACAGCCAAAATATCAAGGGCCATTTATAATAACGGACATATTACCTAGCAATACTTACAGAATAACTCAACTAGAAGCGAAGAATCGAGGTCGCTGCTTCACTATCACTGCTCATGTGAGCCAGCTGAAGCCACGGAGGTGCGATGCAAGCTCTGACGATGACGATGACGATGGCGACAATCAAGATACTGATCAGTTATCAAGCTTGGTTCCTCGATGGAATTTAATCAGATCTGTCTGCAAGGAATGATGGAAGTGCTCTCCTATGTGATTAAGGTGAGATCTTTCCTTTTTTTTTGCGTGTATGAGTTTATCTACATATGCTTGCTGACAGAAAACTTTAAAAACTTTGGAACATTAATCGACTTTGAACTTTCGAACATTAGCTGAAAGACTTTAGTGCATTTGTTTTGAACTTATCATTTTAGGACTGATAACAAACGAGTTATTTCATATATATATATATACAAAATAATGTGAACACCTGTGAAAAAGTATGACGTATTTCACACCTGCATTACAGCCACGCCACCTGCAACAGAAATCTGCCACCTAGTGAGTGTGAAGAGGAAGGTATACGTCTCTCAACAGCAGTCACCTGCGTTGCATGGTTTGATCGAACTGTCTGTGAGAAGTTGAAATGTCAGACCAGTCAGAGTTCCAAAGAGGAATGATAGTTGAAGTGCGTTTAAGTGGAGCATCAGTTACAGAAACAGCAAACCCTGTGGGGTGTACAAGAAGTAGGGTATCAGCCATTATGACAGCATACACGAAAGAGGGTAAGACGACGTCTTCAAAGCACAACAGTGGCTGAAAGTCAAAACTGGCTGATAGGGATAGATGGGTCTTGAAGCACACAGTAGCCCGAAAGCACACCCAATCGTTACCCGAGATAACATCCGAAATGAACAGTCATCTATGGGACACCGTTTCAACAAAAACCGTCAAAAGGGAAATTCCTGCTGCGAACATTTATGGCAGAGTGGCAATTCGTAAACCTTTGGTGACAGCAACTAATGCTTTCAAGCGACACCAGTGGTGCAGAGATAACAAAGGCTGCCCCCCACAGCAGTGGCAACAGATAATATGGTCAGATGAACTGTCATTAACCCTATTTCAGATGACTGGACGCGTTTATGTCTGGAGAACACTCAAAGAAGCGTTTCGTCCCGACTATCTCTTGCTGGCTGCAAAGCATGGGGGTGGCGCCATTACGGTACGGGGTGCGATACCTTGGTGCAGTCCTGGGCCACTTGTTATTCTGCATGGAAGGATCACATCCAATCACTATCTAAACATTCTAGGAGATCATGTCCATCCTTCTGTTCAGAATGTATTCCCTGGTAAGTGACCGCTTTTTCAAGACAACAACACCCCTATCCACACTGCTAGGTGTATTCAAGAATGATTCGAAGAGCATGACAATACAATTGAACATCTTGCTTGGCCCCCTCAGTCTCCGAACTTGAATATTATTGAACATTTAAAAACATATTTGGAGTCCAAACTTTGTTCCCGATTTCCCCCTCCATCCCGACTTTCGGAATTAGAGACCGCTCTGCAGGAGGAATGGCTTAATATTCCTTTAAATATTGTCCATGACCTTTCGTATCTATCCCACGTCGCAATCAATCTGTACTTCAGTCAAAGGGTGGTCCAACTCCCTATTAATAAAGATTTTCCATTATTTCCCAGGTGTTCGTATTATTTTGTCCTCCATCTGTATCACGTATTTAGTAATGATTTACAGTGTGTGTGTGTCATTATGGCAAAGCCTCGAGGGCTATCTGCATAAGGTGAGGGATGCCTTCGTGGAGGACTTTCTAAGGGAAACTGGCTCGTATACACGTTCATGGGGAAAACCACGAAAACGCCCATGCAGCCAGCCCGTTCGCGGGATTCGAACCTCGGACCGAACTACCAGTGTTCAGCGACTTTACCGCTCGGCCGCTGGTGGGCCCCGTAATGATTTACAGAAAAATTTTGATTATTATTATTATGCTAACGTATCAAAAATATGTGAATTTTTTTATGTGAAAATATTTGAGTAAGTTTATTATCATATCAAATTTTAGTATAATGTGTATTCTTCTTAGTGTATCAGTAATATGTACGTTAAGTAATGTGTATACGAGTTGAAGTAGAAAATTGTATTAATTAAAAAATTGATTTGTACTCAGAACAATCAGGACGATTATCAGGTCAGAATGACCGAGTGTTATCAGCCGATAGATGGCATTGTAGAAAAGTCACGGATAGGGGGTGAATGATGGCAATCGAGAATCGGGAAGCGAGAGAATGTGATTAAAGTTAAGAATGTTCTGTAACGATATGTATATATGTATTGATTGAATGAAAAGTAAAAGCCCAACTTACCCCTAGCCATCCTGAGATTAATAACAGAGATTAAAGTTAACAAATGGATGCACACAAATTCTCTAAAGACACCCACAAAATTCAAACGAAACTTCAACAAACATAAGGCTCTGGCAACTGTTTTTTGGGACCAAAAAGATGTGTTGCTTGTCAAGTTTATGCAGCCTGGAACAACAATTAACACAGATTCATATTGTAAAGCTTACTGATAGCTATTCAAACAAATGAAAAGGCATGCTGACTTCTGGAATTGTTCTGATCCATGACAATGCCTGCCATCACAGCGTTCATGTAACCCAATGGCTCCATCAGCAGTTTCAATGGGACATTTTCAAACACCCACCATATAGTCCCAACCTAGCACCAAGCGACTTTCATATTTTCCCTGAACTGAAAGAAACCATCACAACTCGCTTCCAATCATTGGCAGGAACATTTTATGAAGAGGGTATTACATAGCTTGTTCACAGATATGACAAATGCTTCAATCGTCAAGGTGATTGTGTAGAGAAATAACCTATATTGTACATTACTTTTGGTAATGAAATCTTTTTTGTATATTCACCCATTTTTTTCTTTATAGCCCATCAGAGGTTGAAACAAAAATAGCCTATGTATATATGTGCAGTAAAAAATAAATACATAAAATTTATTTACCTGTGGGTTTATCAGCTCTCATTAATCTTAAATATGGTTGAAGACCAGAAGGAGCCTTATTTACAAGCATTTCCATCACAGTCAGTTTTTCTTTATCAATTATATGTAAATTTGTATTTTCAGTTTCATTTTGTAAGGTCTGTTTTGTGGAAAAGAAACAGAAATTTACACAACTCCTATTTCTATATATTTTGTTGATCCCGACGTTATCATATGGGCCAGACGAAAACCTTAACAGAGCATGTTTTGTTTGATTTAATGATGAGAACATTTTCAGATATCTTCTCTGGTTTTGTAATAAATGTCTCCACATTTTCTTTCCTTTTTAAGGGTGAAATGATCACCAACTAGAATAAATTTGTACAATAAGATTCAAATGAAAGTCTGATATGGAATTCTTTACATCTCTCTGAACAAAAACCATTTCCAGCCCCTATTTAGGAATAAAAAAATTAAAATAAAGAAAAATTCAAATTTAGAGTTTTGTTTTCTATAACAAACATTATTACTTAAACATGATAATAATCAATAAATCTTTTATTAAAAAAAAGTATACATTCAAATATAACAGTGAAAATTTTTATGTTCATTAGGAAAAATATCACTTTTAGTGTATTCATATTCAAGAACAAGAAACTTTGTCTTAGATGGACAAATATAATAAGTCTGGTTATTCGGGTTGGATAAAAAGTATAATATAGGCATTATAGGCGAGGAACTCTTAAAAAAACACACACACACACATACAAGATATTTAAAAATACTCAAAATTGTTGAATATTCTGACATAAAATACTATCTTGGTAACAAACCTGATCCTGCATCATAATTTTTCATATAGAAGATTATCCAGTTGGACCTTCATAAACAGTAGACTTTTATCATTGAGTAAAAGCTTGCCAAACTATGTTCTAATTTCATAAAGGACAACAAAACAAGGTGCAAGCTACAACTAAACATCATACACAAATTCCAAAAGCAATCAATCCAAATGTTACATGTTTAACCATAAATATTAAATGTTTGTTTCCATGCACACATCTGCTCCTCATTAATTCCAAATGATTTTCATGAAAACCTTGACTGAAAAACTAAGAATTACATCCAAATTTATCCCCAACATCTATAAGACCTTCCAGGCCATCTCCTTGTTTAAAGCCAATGGGAAAACATTACAAATACCTCTTCATGGGAACATCAATGTCATCCCATTTTGGTTGAAATTTATATGCAATACAGAGAAAATTTTGTTTTTACTAAGTTTCCCAGAAAACTCATTTTTTGGAAGAGATACATCAGTATCTTTGTTCTATGGAAATACTGAAAAGTTGAACTCAAAGAACTTTCTTCAATCATCTCAAAAAATATCCCCAATACACAGTTTGTGATTACAAATTTCACAAAAGCATTAAATATTTTTATCTCTTGATTTCAAGAAAGAGTGATACTCTTCAGACTACAGTCTACCATAAATCAAATGTAAACTTAATCCAGTATTTCCATTCTCATCAAATAGCTGCCTTTTATTTTTACTGAAGACAAGCTAAAGAATTCTGTTCTATGTCCAGATTTACAAAGCACATCCTATAAACTGCAACAAGCAATAGATAACCATCCAGCTTTGTTGAAAAACTTTCCAATAAAGCAACAGATAATAATATTGAGGATAAATGAAAGATTTTATACACTGTCGACTAGTTACATCATCTAATTATTGTGGACATTATTTTATTTCAAAGTGAAATCAAAAATAGTTCTTTGTGGTGCTGAAAAAATTTTGGTATTAAAACAAAATAACTTAAAAAAAACATAAAAAACCCTGCATTTAAATTATTCAAGTTTTTAAACTGATTAAGGTCCAATACAAAACCATCTCATTACTATTTGTATGCAACAAAATTTAAATTTTATTATGTAATACAAAACATGCATGCTTCTTATTATGATTCACTGGCATTTTACTTATGAAAAAAAAAAAAAAAAAAAAGCATTTACATTCCATTAATGCACTTCTCTCTCAAAGTAAACTTTTCACAATCTTTGAGAATCTTTTTCCTGTATTATCACTAAACCTGCCACTGCATGTGTTGGGTCTGCAAGACCCAGGCAAATGCGTTTTTTATTATTTTAGACAGATGGCAGTATTTGTACCACTAATGTTCCATCTAACTTCATATTTTTAGTATATCATTAACACATGCACCTGGAACAAATCAGGTTCTTTCGGGTGGGAGTTATTTCATCGTGTTAATTATCTTGGGTCTGCAAGACCCAACCCATCCAAATATGTAAGTTTTCTCAAAATTTCATTTTATTTTATTTTTCTAAATTTTAGAATTTAGACAACTGTGTGGTACTCAATTTCTATTTTATGTATTTGCAGGACTTCACAAAAATTTAAATCTCAATAATTCTGATGATTTGGCCGCAGCCCTACCTTTGTTTCAGAAGACTGACTGGATTCCAAGATGATATGACTTCAGTTTTGTATGTCCCAAAGCAAAATAAACCAATGATCCTCTTGTCATCCATGCAACATAATGACAAATTTTATGAAAGTATGGATGGCAAGAAGAAACCTGAAATTCTCCACGCTGCAACTCGCAATGCACTCACCGACACACAGAATATAGTTCCCGACTACTCAGTTCAGTCATTCCCGGAGCTCAACACACTCTCTCAATGATGTGGTAACCACAATACACTAAGAAACTCTTTCGGGGCACTCGACGACCCACTCAGCACTCGCTGACTGACTGTCAACTCGATGGACTCAACTAACTCTCCACATACCAGCAGGGTTTATATAGCTTTTAACTTGTGTTCGAGAACATTCTGGGCTAAGCCGGTAAGAATTCGCTCTAGAAGGTTCTCCATCCGTCCATGGCATATCACCAATTTTGTTGCCAAATGGGTGATCTCTCGCCAAATGTGGCAAACCTGCCTTACCCTTGCTATCTTATGGCAACCCTAAACCAGCTTTGCGGGGGAAGCTATCTTACCATGCCTGGAAATTTCATAACACTGCCCCCTCCCAAGGACTGCACATGCCTGGCAGTACAACCCTTGGTGAATTCCATACAAACAAAACAAAAAAGTAACATAAGAAACAAATATTTACATTATATATACAAATTAAATGCATAACAATTTTAAATTACACAAATTAAAGTTTAGAATGAATTTCAGTCTCGGTGTTTTCCTTATTTATACCTGGGTCAAATACTTTTCCATTGCAGTTCTCATATGCATTTCTGTTTTGCATAGAGTCTGAAGACTCAGTCCTTTCACACTTTTCATCCACAGGAAGATCTGAAACAGTTTGTTCACCACTCAGTAGTTTATTCACATCATGTATATAGTTCACCTCGGTATTTTCAGCCGCTGGTACATGCTCATTTACCTCTATTTCCTGACAGCCAGGACGGATGGAGAACCTTCTGGAGCGAATTCTTACCGGTTTAGCCCAGAATTTGAAAGCCAGTTCCGATGTTTGCATCAGGGTCATGAATAGAATTCAATCCTTTACAAGCAGAAGTATCCAGGTTTAGAATCAAGTCCTTGTCTGCACAACCTGCACAATAAGGCTCACACAGTTTCAGAGGTGGGTGAATTTTCGTGCAATACTGCAGAACACTGCTTAAGATATACATCAGCTTCTCCCATCTCTGCATCACATGCACTTTCAGATGGTTCAATACTTGCTGCCTGCGATTTTGTAACTTCATTATCAGTTTCTACCAACTTAACAGTCACATTTTCGCATTCTTTCATTTCTACTTTGCCTTTTTTCATTTTTCGCAGCTTTTCTGGGCAAACTTTCATTTCTTCTCGTCTGGCCTTCATCTCAGATGTCACCTCTTCATAGCCACCTTTTAATTCATCACATCTGGCTTTTATCTTGGCTTTCAGCTCTTCTCACCAGGCTTTTATCTCAGCTATCAGCTCTTCTCCCTCGGCTTTGATTTCAGCTAAGTCCATCAAAGTTCTCATTTCCTATGCCATGGCTTTCCTCTGCAGGCGGGTCACTGGCATTCACTCTCAAATCCCTCATCTGACACCAGTTGTTACATTCTTTTATTTTTTCTTCTTTCATGTCCATGTGGATTTGGAATGAATAACGATGATAGCACTCAAAGAAGTATCGAAACACACTTTATTTATCCAATAATAATCAAGACGGCTTCAAAACAGGTTTTTACAGTCGTCCAAGAACAACTATAAACATGCTGAAACTCAGCGACACAGCCTTCACACTATCAGGCAATAACGGTGGAGACAGCTTCACTGCAAAGCATCAGAGTACAGCTCCCAACTTTGCTTGGTCGTTCTCGGAACTCCATGTACTCTCGAGACAACTTGCGATGCACTCAACGACACAGAGTATAGCTCTCAATTCCTCGGTTCAGTCGTTCCCGGAGCTCAATACACTCTCTCGATGATGCAGTAACTGCAATACACTAAGAGACTCTTTCAGTGCATTTGACGACACACTCGACACTCACTGACACACTGTCAACTCGATGGACTCTGACTAACTCGATCGACACTAACTCTCTGCATACCAGCAGGGTTTATATTGCTTTCGGCTTGTGTTCGAGAACATTCTGGGCTAAACCGGTAAAAATTCGCTCCAGAAGGTTCTCCATCCGTCCACGGTATATTGCCAAATGGGAGATTTCTCACAAAATGTGGCAACTTTAAACCTGTTTTGCTCAGAAGCTATCTTACCGCGCCTGGACATTTCATAACAATATAATTACCTATTTTTCTAATACCTAGCATATTACTCAGTCCTAACATTTGGCTGATCTTAACTATATTACAATAATACAGGTTTTTATGATAAATTTTTGATAATTATAAACATTGGTCCCACAACCTGGACTTAGGAATTTGATGAACTGGTTCTTAACGCCTTCTTATACTTCTGTGTCATTTCAATGCATGCCATTTTCTTTGGAAAGCTATCTGTAAAGACATGCCATATTTATTTGCACATTTCCTCCCAATTTTATATATAGCATGGAAAACCAGAAGGGAGAAAAATACAGTAAAAATATTTCTGAAGAGACTGCTTAAATAATAAAAAAAGCACACAAAGACAGGCTATTATTTATACTTTTCTGTTATCGAAAGCAGATTCAGAAACGTGAACAAGTATGTATGTACACTGCGGAAAAAAAAAAAAAAAAAAAAAAAGACAGTTATATATCTCCCGTACTACTAGGCCAATTGACGAAATTCAAATTTCATTTTTCATGTCTCGAAAGCACGACTTAGGATATATATTAGATTTATATATAGCATTGCTCCAACATAGGCATTCTGACACAAAATCTGACTTTTTCTGAAATAACATACCAAATTTTTTTCCATATTTCAATTCTACTACTCAAATTATGCCTAGATATTAAATTTTGTAAAATTTGGTGTGAAATTTATGAAGTCAAATTCAAAAATTTATCTTGGCGGAATTTTTTTCATTTTGAGCCAAAAATAATTCACTTGGCAAACTTCTTAATATGTGGCAACCAATTTTTCTTTCCCTTCCATTATGCCGGAACGGAAAAAAGGCACCTCATTCCTATCTTTTTACATTGTGCATGAGCGGAAAAAAAGAAAGTCACATCGTTTCTACTTCCAAATAAATTTAACAAAGTGTCAAAACCACATTTGATGTTTTATTGCTTTCAACAATGCTATACATAAATCTAATAAATACCTAAGTCGCGCTTTCGAAAGATGAAAAACACAATTTGAATTTCATCAATCGGCCCAACAGAACGGGAGAGTACACATGTATGGGTGTGTATACATACACAATGCATACATTTCTGAATCTGCTCCACAGTACGAAAAGTACCCCAGGTTAGAGTAGATTTAAAGGTGCCCCTTGGATTATCACTAGGTTGGTGTTTCAATTTATGGCAAACTGAGTAGTTGAATGCTATGGAAACCCCTATTATGGTGTAATTGGTTGCAGTGAATTTGAATCATCGGAAAAAATTTGGAAAGTGTGTGTCGGATTTTGGGTAAGGGCTTGTGTGTTGGATAAATACATTGTGGTTGATCTTTACATTATGGTAACTTGGCGATTTTTTGGCAAAAATTTGCCGACCAACTCTCCTACAGCAACCCTCCATTTTTTTTCCCCGCCACCATTTTGTCTTCACGAAGTAAAGACATGTTTCTTTTCTTTTTATCTCCTGAACACTTCTTCCAACAATCTACTAGCCGAATTACACTTATGCTAGAAATTTTATCAAACAAAACTGCTTAATCATGACAAATATTCACTGCAAAATTAGGAAAAACTGCACAATACCATTCTCCTTACACATTTTTCAAAATAACACATACACATAAAACATGTACACGCCGACTTATTTTTACTTAAAAAAACATCCCAGAATTGCACAAAAATGGCATTGCGCACACTCTTCACTATATCCATGTACACTGCTTTTTTCTCATAAATTACAAAAATTTCACGAAAATACAAGACAATTTTCTCAATCTTTAAACCCGGTAAAAAGAACATATATGAAATTACATGATCGCGAAAAAGTATTTACCCTTTACACATATCAACATTTCCACATATAAAATAAATAGAATATCCAAAAACTTTTACCTCTAAATCATCTATTACATTATAAACTTCACCAACGAATTCATACCTCAAGCATTACAAATACTTAATATCAAATATTTAAATTATTTCCATGCACGTTTATTTCAACTTAAACGTATACCAAATTCCTACAAACGTAAAATTCACAAAATAACTATCATTTCATTAAAATATAATTAAATTCAAAAACACTACTTAAAATATAAATGAGCACATACATTAAATTAATAAAAATTACCTTACAATCCTAATTACTTTAAATCATTGCTAATAACAATTTTCCCAATAATACCAAATTCCTTTCCACCTTACATTTACAACAATGCATAAAAATAATATCCTCAAATAATTAAAAATACTAACTTACCTAATCTTCTTCAGAATCTTGATTACGTGGCGGATACACTTTTCTTACTTCTATACTTATCTTTCAAAGCAAGATACCAGGTAAAATAAATAACATAATAAAACATCTTTATTTCTCTCTCGCACAACCTTAAAAAACATTTATTACTATCCTTTTCAATACCACTAAATACCCATTTTGAATTCACTTTAGTTACGGCCATGGGATCCAAAAATTCACAAACACTATTTCACACAACACAGAATAAAGCCAAATACAAAATTGCCAGATTTTTCCCGATTAAAGAACAGTAATTCGACCATTAATATCACATAACATATCCCATGATCTCTCATTTCCCTCACACAAAATAATGCGTAATCAGAACTGAATACTACTCACATTCTTAACAAAGTCTAACTAACCTAATCTTCTTCCGAATCTTCCTTACATGGTGGATACACTTTTATTATGGATTCAATAAAATTACTGAACGAGTTTTTTTCCGAATTTGATAAAAAAAAATTCTCTTTATCACATCTACTATTCACTTTAGACAGCTCCATACAATCCCAAAATTATTCAACCCTACTTCACACAACACACAATGAAGCTTAATACAAAATAATATACATCCACAGATACTTGTCTAAATTCCCCCTTTTCCGATTAAAGAGCCGTAATTCGTCCATTAATATCACATGACATATCCCATGATCTCTCATTTCCCCCACACAAAATAATGCGTAATCGGAACTGAGTACTGCTCACATTATTATAAGTCCCAGGTAGTAACCTTTATCGCCTCCAAAATGTCGCCAAACTACCAGTTACCATATTTTAAAGATCAACCATACATTGTTATTTTGTGGTTCACACGGTAAAATGGCTGAATGTGGTAAGATTAATTTAAAGTTTCTGTACGATTTGGAATAAAAGGGAAAAAAACATTAATTGACTGATGTGTAAATAAAGGTTTACTTAGTAGCCATTATTAAGTGTTCTGTTGTAGGAAGAAAATGCATATGGTCGAACATCAGACATTTTTTACTTTTATTTTTTTATGAATTTATGTGGCTACACCAGTATACAGATTCTAGTTCAGATAATTTTAGGAAGTGATTGGATGCTGTCAAGGAATTTTGTTTGACTGAAGACTCGTAAATTCGTAAATAAGGTAAGTGGATATTTCCTTCATGCAGAGCTAAGACGAATTTCCCTTTTTTTTATGTTATTCATTGTTTGATTTAAAATGCAGTTTATTAGTCCAAAGCAGTTTTGTCTCTGAAGGACTATTGCTTTCGTTTTGCAATTTTGCATTGGTTCACTATAAATGTACATTTCACTTTTCAAACTGTTGCCACCAAATGTTAGAGTCCTGCATTATATTTGAAGGAATTAAATAATGAAAAATCTGTCTAAATGTATGTATATTTCTCGCATTGTGGTAATACAACACATTCAGCGGCTAATCTTTGCAATATGGTAACAGGTAGTTTGGCGACATTTTGGTAAGGCGATAAAGGTTACTAGCTAGGACTTTAACAGTGTACATGGATAAAGTGAAGAGTGTGCGCAAGGCCATTTTTATGCAATTCTGGGATTTTTTTTAAGTGAAAATAGGTCGACGTGTACAGGGTTACCATGTCTGTACAATTCTTAAAAACGCGGCAAGCAGTTTGCAATTCTGCACTTTCTCCCAATTTCGCAGCTAATCTTCGTCATGATTAAGCACTTTTGTTCCATAAGCATAAGCGTAATTCGGCTAGCAGATTGTTGGGAAAAAATGTTGAGTGTAAAAAAAAAAAAAAAAAAAAAGCCTTTACTTTGTAAAAACAAAATAGCATCCAAACAAAAACTAGCAGGTTGCTGTAGCAGGGTTGGTCGCCAAATTTTCGCCAAGTTACCATAATCCAAAGATTAACCCATTCAGCCATTTTACCATGTAAACCAAAAAATAACAATGTATTTATCTAACATGTGTAAGCCCTTGCCCAACACAGAATCATCGAATTTTAAATGACGTAATCCTCCTACGAACATGGGCATGTGGAAGGACCAAATGTGAAATTTGGAATTTGTTTTATTATCAATTTCATATTTTGTAAAACTTTAACAAAAAACTCACGAATTTCAAAGCAAGCCACCGCAAAATTGCACAGAAAATATATATATATGTATATATATCTCCGGCGTATGAGTCTCTGTATCAGAAATTCTAAAGATATGCTCATTTTAAAACTATTTTGCAATATTGCTGTTGAACTGAATTTTATGGTTTAAGTGCCAAGAACGCGATATTTAATAAATAAATGTAACACACAAAATGTTAAAAAAACGCCCCTTTGGATGTAATTTAAAATCTGAAACCTTTCAGATTTTTTTTGCTGTTAAACTGATTATCCTATTTATTTTTTGAGATTACATATTTTTTGCTGGCTGCTCCTTTGACTTTTTAAGTGAATATAGATTGATGTGTAAATGGACAAACCCAAGAGAGTGTGTAATGACAAGTTTGTGCAATTCTCCAATTTTTTTTAAGTGAAAATAGGTCGATGTGTACATGGATACCCAGTTTGTGCAATTCTTTGACTTGTTATTTTGTCTTTGTGTAGTGTCGATTTTCACCACTACACAAAGCCAAAATAACAAGTTACAGAATTGCACAAACTCAGTATCGATGTACCACCCCAAATCACTAATTTTTGCCAAGGGGCACCTGTAAATATATTTTTACCATACCTTGCTATGATTATATTATATATTTCAAAGGATTTATCAACTTAATTACACTTTTCTTTAGTTATACAAAATACTTTCTATTTGTGCACATATTTAATATTGTTACTATTTTTCTGGAGTTTTACAATAATATACTAAAAAAACTAGCAGCAAAAGAATGCAAGGGAGAGAAATATGTGATCTCCTAAGACAGATAATATTCAATACTAAATATGCTTTGACATGACAATTTAACTTTTTTGAATAAACAGAAATTACATTTAAAAACTGCTTGATTAATTTACATCTGATTGTATGATGTAAATAAAACATAATAGGTTAAATATTTACAATCTTCTTCCTAACCCAATTTTGGAAGTAGAAATGTGAAGAAAAATTTCATAATTATTAATCATCTCTAATGCATAAGAAGATACAAACCATTTCTAAAATTACAAAACAATACTTGAAATATATTAAAACAATGCCCAATAACTATTTTTTTTTTATTTTTAGGTAGACTGAAATATTAGATAAACATAATAAAGACTTGCTGTTCTTTAATTCGTTCTAATAGGAACAATACCAATTGTAAAAATAACAATTACAAATTATTCATATATATTTAGAATGAACTTTAAAACATACTGAATTATGTTTGTATATCATCTTTACTTCAGCACCACCTTAAGGGTTAATTACAGTGACAGCTACCTTGAGAAGAGGCCAGTTCTCTTTCAAGGTAAACTTCCTTCGGGAAACTGATTCCCAATTCACGTTGCCTACATGGCATGCAATTTATGTATATCATTTCTATTGCTCATTTGTTAAATCTTTCAAGAAAATCCAAATTTTATAAGAATTACGAAAAGCGACATATGCTATGGTTTGGAAACTCATTAACGTTATAACACATAATGGAATCAGCAGTTACACATAATACAATTACCATATTTCTTTGTCAAATGTTTTCGCTTCAGTATATGGCAGGAACAAAACATAAGATATATAAATTTTATTTGTATATCAAAATGTTTCTTAATTTAAATTCTTATATATACGGAAAGTTTTCCCGGTTTAAAATATATATATATAATGAAACTGAAAAGTACAGATGTCAATTGACAATATTAGTGATTATGATTTAAGTACAAACTACTACACACACAGTAATTTCACATTAATTGCATTATTAAGAAACAGTAGCTACGAAAGAGATATACCAAATTTAAAACTTCAAACATCATGCTTTGGAATAAACACATGCAGGATCACTCATTACGTAATGTCACAACTGCTTCCCGTCCAATGAGCATCCCCCATATATAACTATTCTCCTTCTCTTTAAAGATGAAAGGGAAAGTTCCCTGTGAGAGGAAAGCCAAGGCCAGATATTAGCAGAAATATTTTATGACATTTTTATTAACGCACAATTAAAATCCTCAACGAAATCACTGTTTTAGAAATTCTGTGCTTAGTTATATAGCTACTGGTTCTTTGAAAACATCCCTTGAAAATTGTCAGAATTATTGTGGACTTCTCGGTAATTTTGATAATATTGATAGACTGGTAGAAAAATTTTGGTTAGTGGAAATATTGGTGAAGAAAAGTCAAGAATTCCGTGAACAACATTTCAAAGGCACTTCCAGACGAAATGAAGATGGTAGATTTATCGTAAAAATGCCTACGAAAGACGAACAATTAGAAAATTCAAAGCACTTAGCCAATATTAAACTCAATCAATTAGTTAAACGTCTTAGCAAAATCAATACATTGCAACATTCATATCAAGGTTTCATAACAGAATATGAAAATTGGGACGATATGGAAAAGGTCGATAATAATTCAAAACCGGAACTTGAATATTACCTTCCCCATCATGGAATATATAGACCAGAGAAATCAAGTACAAAATTAAGAGTTTGGTTTAATGCCAGTTCCCCAAGCTCAAATGACTTGAGCTTGAATGACTTACTTTTAGCGGGAGCAGCCCAGGAAGATATTTTTGATATTTTTATGTCCTAACAACTGCATCAACTCTCTTAGATATTCCCCATTTCCCAAAGAAAAGCATAAATATTCACCTGACATTCTCCATCCTTAACATTTTTTACTCGTATTAGATTCTTCAGTTCACTGATTTGGACCTTCGAACAGAACCTTAGTGACTCACCTGTGACATATAGACTCAAAACGGTGACTTATGGTACTAAATGTGCTCCATTTTCAGCCTTTAGATGCATAAAGCAAGTTGTATATGATGAAATACATAACTATCCTGAAGCTGTCAAAGCTGTTTTGTCAGACTGTTATAATAATGATGTCATCTCTGATTCATCAAACTTAGCACGGAAGTTGAAAAATCAGCTTATACAGCTTTTCCATAGTTGTGGAGTGACTTTGCATAAGTGGAAATCTAATTCCCCTGAACTGTTGGATAGCCCTTTTCATTCTCCTCCAAAAGTGATAATGTGGTTAAAACTTTAGGTGTTACACGGAATTCTCAGAAGGATGAATTCAGCTTTAAAGTCTCAATAAAGGCGAAATCATCATATACCAAAAGGTACATTTTATCTATAATTTCCAGACTTTATGATCCCTTAGGATTGATTGGTCTAGTAATCACCAAAGCCAAGATATTTATACAGAAATTATGGGTTCAAAAACTGAGTTGGGATGAAGCACTTTTCGCAACTATTGCTTATGAATGGCAACAAATAGTTTCAAATTTAAAGATTGTGGAAAACATAAATATTAATCGTTGCATCCTCTCCAATCAGCAAGATTTCACTCATTGGATATGCAGATGCTTCGGAAGCCGCTTATGGTGCAGTTGTCTGCTTGAACTGTGTCGCTACTAGCCAGCAAATCTCGTATGGCTCCATTGAAAACCTTATCTATTCCAAGTTTGGAACTTTGTGCATGTTTGTTATTGCCTCATCTGATTTCGAAAGTTAGCAACTCATTGAAGATGTATTTAGATGACATCATTCTGTGCACTGATTCAACGATAGCACTGTCATGGTTGAAGACTTCTCCTCATCTTTCGAAGACCTTAGTTGCAAATAGAGTCTCCAAAATCCAAAGACTAGTAGAGCCGCGACACTGGAAGCACGTATCCTAAGCAAAAAATCCTGCAGATCTGATTTCCTGTGGCTTATCCTCATGAACTTGTGATATCTTCTTTGTGGTGGAATGGTCCTGAACAGAGAGAACTTACTGATGCTTCTTTACTTGAACTTAACAAGACTCTCATAGATTCTCCTGCTTATCATGCTGAACATAAAAAACATTTACACATTAATTTGAACTGCAATTTAAACTTGTTTTGGAATACCCTTTTTGAATCAACAAATATTTATATTAAACTAATTAGAATCTCAAGTCTTATTTTCAAGTTTCCCTCCAATCTGAAAGGTCCAATGAAGAAAACAGGCCCCATTAGTAGTAGTGAGTTTCAAGATGCGGAAATGCACTTGATAAAAATGGTTCAGGTAATAGAATTTGCAGAGGAGATTAAATCACTTCAAGATCAGAGAGTAATCAAAAGTCAGGTAAAAACTTTAAATCCAATTTTGAGATGGAAAAGATATTATTACGTGTGGGCGGTCGCTTAACTCATGCCACAATTAATTATGATTCTAAACATCAAATTTTATTGCCAAAAAAATCATAAGCTTACTAAGCTAATATTTATTCATTATCATTTGAAAAATTTTCATGATGGTCCTCAAGCATTGTTACATTTTGTTAGGGAAAGGTTTTGGCCCATTGGTGGCAAGGTCTTAGCTAGAAAAACAATTCACGAACGCTTAATTTGTTTTCGTCATAAACCTATCATTTCAGATCAATTAATGGCCGATTTACCTCCTGAACGTGTAATTCCAAATCTCCTTACGAACTGGAGGAAACGGCGTTAGCCAAAGTCCTCATCTCCTTTCTTCTTGCTTAAAAGCAAGATTGCTACAGAATTCCAAATATAACCTTTCATAACACAGGCTTGGATTTTGCTGGCCCTTTTCTAATCAAATATAGAAATCAAAGGAAAGATAGTTTACATAAAGTTTATATAACAACATTTGTTTGCTTAGTTACAAAAGCGATTCATTTAGAATTTGATTTAACTTTACTGCATGTTTAAAACGATTTTTCTCGCGTAGAAGTAAAAGCTCATGTCTATTTAGTGACAAATTAATTTTGTAGAACCTCAAATTTTAGATGTGTCAGAACGCAGATTGTCAAGATGGCAAAAATTAAATAAAATGATACAGATTATATGGAAACGATGGATAACTGACTATCTTAATTAATTGCAACAACGAAAGAAATGGTATTTTTCAAAGGACAATCTAAAGAAAATACAATGGTTATTATTAAAGATAATCAGTTACTCCACTTAAAAGGTTATCAGGAAGAATCGATCAGACCATTTCTGGTAAAGATGGTAAAATACGAATAGCAATCCTTAACACAAAATTCGGTGTAATTAAAAGGCTAATATAAAAAAATGTGTTCATTGCCAATTGATGATAATTACAAAGATTAAGTTCCATTGTTAATAAAATGTATAAACTGTTTTTTTTATTATACTTATATTTTAGTAATTTTGATGGAAAAATTAAAAAATTTTTCAATGTTTGAAATGTTGATATACTTACCATAATTATTGTATAAGGTATTTCTCCTGCCTTCTTAAGGCCCGACCACACGAGGACGCTCCCGAGGTAGTTGACGTAACTTTTTTGACGCCGGCGTAAATTCGCGTGACGCAGAAGACGTAAAACTGAGTACGCTCCTGTTCAGCTTTTTCGCCCGCAACGCGCGCGTATATCCAATAGCCGACCGAGTTCTTATCACGTGTCGTAATCAGAAAACCTTCTTGCTTATCCGTTTCAATATGGCGTCAGAACCACACAGAGATGAGTTTTTGCTTAGAAATATAACTGTATACAGTAATAAAATAATCAGCATTGTTCACGCCATCTTCAGATTTCTCAAACCGTACATATTGGTATACATTTAAAATTCTCATTAAAGGGGAAAACTGTATATTTATAAAGCAATGATCCCAGCAGTATATCCATATGCTTCACCTATTTATAACACCGTAAGTAATAGGAACCTAAATAAATTACAGTTTCTACGAAATCAAAGTTTCTGCCTTACAAAATTCTCCTTAATTATTATAGATATTGTCTATATCATGTGTAATAAAAAGCTCTATAAATATAACAATATTAAATACACCAAAAACTAACTTCAGCAATATAACAACTTCTAAGATAAAGCAGTTGACTGTGAAAGAGTATTCAATAAAATACAATTACGAAATTTTGGAGGAAAGTTACAACTTGTGTCATACAGCAATCATTTATTGAAGTTTAATTAAATTACCTTTGTAGCGACTTCTACTTGTTACATTATTTTTCACAAAAACTGCTATCACAGATAGCTGAGTGGTTAGCGCGCTGCTTTGGTGGCGGAGGAATGGAAAGGTGGCAAGTTCGAACCTCACCCGTAGATGGTGTTCAGTTAGCTTTTCTCATTTTGAAACGTGTTTCTTATATTTAATCATGAATCATTGTATTCTTATTTTACCTATTATTATTGTTTTCATTTCTTATTTTATTCATTATTATTATTGTTTTTAATTTAGTTTAAAAATGTGCAGTGCAAATAGAAATCCTTATGTAATAATATATCTGCATCTCTTTATCATATATCATCTATAAATTCCCTCTTTATTTTTACTTTATTGCATATTTTATCATGCACATAATTTCTCATAAACTGTCCAAAGTTTGAACCTCATTCTAAATTCAAAAATAAATAAAATAAAAAAAAGACCAAGGGAGGGGGAGTTAAAAAAATATGAAGTTGGTTTTATTATATGGTGGATGGTGTAAATAAAGAGAATTAAGTAATTTAATTCTCTTTATAATAATGTATTCCAAACCAATTTTATAAATCCTTTTTAAATAGGATATAGAATCTGCAAGTCTGTCAAACTGGCCGATACTCATCCTGAAGGAATTAAAAAACAAGTAATATACCCCTCCAAAAAAAATTAAGTAAATTCCTACTTAGGTCCACAAAGAAAAATTTAAAAAATACAAACAGAATTTTTTAAAACTTAAAAATTTTAATATGTGAAAAAGCTGTATTAACATCAAGTGTCATTCACTACAAGTTTAAAAAATTGTATTTGAACTTGAGTGGATGAATAAAAAGCATTTTATGTACTGAAAATTTGAACAAGATATAGGGAGAGTGTGAGCTAATTGTAGGAATTTAATAA